CCCCCCCCGTCTCACACCTCACTGACTCTCACTTTCATCCACAACAAATTCCTCTCATTTCCATTAGCAGCTGTGTGTTTGTTTAACCAACTCTGGTCCCTGGTCACTTCCTGCAGCTCCCAGCTCTGAACTGCAATGGTGCTGCTGCAACCCCCAGTGCTGCAGCGACTTGCAACTACCACCCTCCAACAGCCACTCTGTCCCCCGGGGGACAGGGGGAATTATCACATACAGTATGTGACGAGGACAGTACTGAGTAGGCTATGGGTGCGACACAGGACCCGGTCGCCATAGTCACCCAGCCCAGCTGCCCGCAGCAGGTGCATTTTAACGAGCTCCGGACATCTGTAACCGAAACGCGCCACGCCTGCTCTGTCGACTGAAGATGGCCGCTCTCCATCCTCCCAGCGACCTCACTCTGAAACGGTCTGTCTAAATGCACTCCCAGCAGCTCAGGGGTTAAACGCGTCCTGCGCCGGAGCAAAGCGGATTAAGCGGTTCTGACGTGAGCACTGTCATGTTCCACCACGGCGCTGCAGAGGCAGCCAAGCGAAGCTTCTTTGGTGTTTTTAATTCCAATTCACCCAAAGTCGTTCTCTACGGACTGAAGAGAAAACTATTAACATTTTTAAACACAAGAACAAGGCAATTGTTCAGCTTCTCCCAGCATTCCGTCCACACTTTTGGCTCGGATTAGATACACCCGGGGGGGCGGGGGGGGGCTGGAGATGGTAAGAAGGGCATCCTCTGGCTGTGGACTTGAAGGGGGGGGGGGAGCGAATCAGCCCTGTCCTCGCTATCAGATTCTACGGACTTGTGAGAAGCTTTGGTAGACAACTGGTTCCACTGCAGCGCATTCAGGCGGTTGCATAACATGCGCCTCAGCATTTCGTTGAAGTTCTTTGCTGCAGCGTTGCGACTGTGCCGTGACACAGAGGGCCGTCACCAATGCCCACTTCAGGTGCGGCGCATCCTTCCAGAACAAGACGGACCAAAAGATGCGGACAGCAATCACGAGTGAAGCACGCACACACACTCGCACACCTCGCAATTGCTCTGCAGTGAGCTGCGTCAGCCTGGTTACATAACACTGCTGACGGGGGGCGGGGGGGGGACAGAGTGTGGTGTAAACAAAAAGCAGGAGAGGAAAAAGGAGACACAGGAGGCGCAAAAGGAAAAGACAGCAATTAATAACTGAAAAGCTCTTAGCACACAAGCAGAAAGACAGTGAGAGGCCTTTTCCTCTCTGGGGCCCTGGTCCCCCTCCCACTTTGTCTGCTCTTTGCAGCTGCAGAGGTCGTTAGGGGCTCTGCTGTGCCGGAGCCCGAAGCTGTCGCAGCCTAACCGCTGGACGCGGATTTCCCAACGGCCCCCGAAGCCCCCGCCACCCTGTGCGTGTAAGTCAGCGCTCCTGCAGGGACAGAGAGACGCCTGCAGCACCGTCAGCTGCACCGCGGTCAAGCGCGGGGAAATCACAGAGTGCCACAGCAGCTCACTACTGCCCCCTGCTGTTCGGGATTACAGCCCGGCCTCCGATTGGGCGTCCCTATCACACAGTCCACATGTGACACAGAAGGCCAGAGGGAGACTGAGCAGGACGGCTGCAGTGTATCAAACCAGGCCCTCGTTTGCATGCGCTTCTCAAACACCCAGGCCCAAATAAACAGAGGATATTACTCTTTGTGTCTGGAATTAAAGCCAATCACTGCAGCAGTGTCTGCGCTGCATATCTACTTTTAGAAGAGAACATCACCCACACAGGGAGAGTAAAATTAAACATGACATCATTAATGACATAATCACACTGAAAACCTGCCATAGCGTAATCATGGTTCCCTGAAAGGCTGAGCTACAGCCAGTTCCGGAGCCTCTTAACAGCCTCCATTAGAGCAATAAAACGCCATAAAACTGTGGATCTGCAAGCCGAGGTTAGATCTAGACAGGCATTGCCAAGGTCTTCCATGGTTTAGTCCTGCTGGCTGGGTCCAGCCCTTGGTCTCAGAGATAAGGACATGCAGGGAGAGTCTCAAGAGAAAAGCTTGAAATGCCAGAACCAATCAAATCGTCCCTTTAGCCGTTCATTATATCCAATGTCCTCCAAAGAAACATTTTTCCCACTTTTTGCCATCGTATCTGAAATCGTATTTCCACTGTAACAAATATCAAATATTATGTTAGTTTTTGCTGCAGCAGAAGTGAAAAGGAAGGGATGCTGGCAGACAGGGGCAATATCACCAGAAAAGTGCCATTTAAAAAGAAATATTGCTAAGCTAATAAGGACCACAGATAAATTAATCGCCTTCGCGGTTTTTCTCCCACTGGGACAATAAAAATTCTGGCATGGAGGCCATGAATGAGTGAGACATTTACACGCGTTTATTCATTTGGCAGAGACTCTTATCCTAACCAGCAGATAATTAAGGAAACAGGGTCAGCCAGTGCCCGGACCAATCAGGGCTTAGGTGCCGTGCTTCAGGAAGAGCTAATCTCGCAATGTAAAAGGGGTTAGGGGCCGTGCTTCAGGAAGAGCTAATCTCGCAGTGTAAAAGGGGTTAGGGGCCGTGCTTCAGGAAGAGCTAAATCTTGCAGTGTAAAACTAAACAAACACGAAAAACAGCAAACTGTGTAAAGGCCAGGGAGCCTTCGTCCTGTCTGGCCGGATTGCTACAGACAGAAACTCTGGGTTAAACCCAAATGGGCTGAATCAGCACCTGGCGCTGTACACTCACCTTATAGCCACGCCAGTGAGACTGGATCAGAAGTGCAGCCTCTGCATCCGACAGCAGCAGAGACAGCGGGATAGGTGGGCGGGGGCTATGGAGAAGGCAGGTGATCATCAACTGATATAGCTGTATAAAATACAACTATACTCAGGTAACACCATCCTTTAACCTGCATCTATTTTCTGTGCCCACTTGTCCTATGCAGGGTGACAGGGGTCCAGAGGCAGGGAATAACCCAGGACGGGGTGCCAACCCATCGTAGGGCACACTCAACATGCATCATTCTCAACAGACAACCCGGTAATTCCAGTGTCTCGATTCCTGGTCGCAGAGATGTGAGGCAGCAGCGCTAACACTGCACCAGCAGACCACCTGGCTCATCATCCATCCATCCATCCATCCATCACCATAACCGCTTAATCCCAACTAGGGTCGCGAGAGGTTGGGGGGGGTGACTGGAGCCTATCCTGCAAACAACGGGCGTAGGCGGGAACCAACCCTGGGCAGTCGCCAACACACCGCAGGGCGCACGCACTCACACAATTACGGGGCCAACTCAGGTTTGCCAATTAACCTGCCCTGCACACTTTTGGACTGTGGGAGGAAACTGGAGCCCCAAGCGGAAACCCACGTGAACTCAGGGACAGCAAGCGAACTCCACACGGAAAGGTCCTACACCCAACCCAGGACCTGTACGTCCTACGCCCGACACGGGGACCAAACCCAGGACCTGTACNAACCCAGGACCTGTACGTCCTACGCCCGACACGGGGACCAAACCCAGGACCTGTACATCAGTATTCAGAATGAAGTTAAGTTGAATGAAACAACAATGGATTTGCAGGAGGGCTGGAGTTCACAGACCTATGCAGTAGGAGTACTTACTGTCTGCTCAGCCAGTCCCTGACAAATGGGATCTCCAGGAAATTTATCGGGGGGCCGTTGCCCAACCTTCGGGGGTTATTGCTGCAGAATACATGAGATCAGCATCTATTTCAGTCTCTCACGGCACAGATTCCACGGCGCCCGTATCAAACATCTGCACGCACTAATTCAGCTACACAGCTGTAATTCAAAAATACGTGTCGCCCTGTTTCTTGCCCAATGAGTACAAAGCTCATTCGCGATAATGTAAAAATAAATGGTAGGAAGATGTCATAAGAGTATCAGGCAGGTTCTGTGCCACTTACTTATAGAGCCACTCCGTCAAGAAGTCACAGGCGTTGAACTTGGCCCTTTTCCTCTGGAAGCGGAGGGAGGCAAACATCCAGAGAGACAGAGAATGTATGAAAACATTAAGCAAGGTAGAGTCTGCTTATGATCACACCGCAAGTGTCAGAACTGGGGTGAGCACTGGGAAGAGCTTTAGTGGCTGGGATACCGGCCCAGAATTCTGTATAAACACTGAGCAGAGGCAGACCACTAGTCCGGCTTGCTCCAGTCCCATCTCCGTGTGCGTATGTGTCTGGTGAGTTTGTAATGAGTGCTGACCTCCAGACAGTGTTCCTTCTGGGCCTCTATGAGCAAAGCTTCCAGTCCAGGCAGCAACACAGGGAATATAGTGCTCTCCAGGTAGAGAGTGGTGGCATCTGCAAAAAGCCAGGCAGACATACATACAGACATGGAGAAACTGCCATGGCTGATCATGTTCAGCCGTATATTCATGTAACACCCGGCACAGAGCGGAACACGGCTGTCTCAACGAAGACACGGTTAAAAATGTAATAAATTTGATAGTGAAACGTACTCTGCTGCAAGACGGAATCAGGGGATTGGGGCTGATTATGATACAGCGACGGTGTTCCTCGCCAGGCAGAGCAGCCTGCCGGTGCAGGATCATTCTTCACCAGCTCACTGTCTACTGCCACCTGAAGACGCAAATATGGCAAAGACATTCGCAGTTTTCAAACAACGATGTCCGTAAAGAATTGCACAACGATATAACTCATTTACGAGTAAAAGGACCTCATGTTGCGGGCGGTAAGGACTCAGGGCGGCTGCTTCTGGCGGACTGGGCAGCTCCGACTCGTATTCTGTTCAGAACAACATCATCAAACAAACACTTAATGTAATAGCACAAATCGGTAGATGTCTCTACAACTGAGCAAATTAACGTGGGCAATTTGGGGCGAACATCGCTCAATGAGGCTTAGTTACAAAGGAAAAAAATAGTCACCAGAGTGGAATAATACGCTTTGCTAGTTTTATGTATTCTTTATTATATGCAGCTTACCCTCACATATCTGTTGCCACAAAGATTTATTTTCGGCCACTTTATCCATTGTAGAATTTGACGGTTTAAAAAACGGGTTGCTAAGGACGCGTCAGATGACTCTCGGTTGCTAAGGAAACACGTATTTTAATGCTTCCGGTTTAATATACCCGAAGTAAGGTAAGCAAATTATCCACGAGTAAGGTAAGCAAATTCGTTTACTCCTCATTAGTTTGTAGTATGTTGCTAGAGAAATATCTTTCCTGACTTGGCCATGCAAAACAAGCATGTAGCCCTAAATGCAATTTTACATTAACGCAATTATGCTTGTAGGGTTAGTTAAATGTGCAGAGAAACAACGAGAAGTAAAGATACTANAACAAGCATGTAGCCCTAAATGCAATTTTACATTAACGCAATTATGCTTGTAGGGTTAGTTAAATGTGCAGAGAAACAACGAGAAGTAAAGATACAATAGGAAGAGGACAGAAGTATGAGCTGTTTCTGTGAAGGCGGTGAGGTTGATAAAGAGCGTTAACGACAGAGGTGAAATAAACGCTGATGTGGGGAATAATGTTCTTGTTGGAAGGAAAAGGTAAAGAAAAACAATTTGTAAAAATCGCAAAATGCAGAAATATAAAATATGTTGCAGATATCAATGTTGGTGAGGAAGAGATAATTGGAGGAGAGATGAACGTTCAAAAGAGTGGAGGATTTAAAAGCTGTGAAGGTAAAAGGAAGCGGACAGCTCCAAAAGTAAAGAAGATGGACACAGAACAGAGTGATAGAATGGTGCCTTCCCAGAAAGATGTAGCCACTGAGGTAAGATCTGTGGGTGGAAAGTTCATCAAAGAGGAAACTATAGTGAGCACAGAGAAGCAAAAAGCAAAATACACCACTGTCACCAGCATGGGAACCCAGACTGAAGAAGGAAACACAAAAGAGGAAGTAGTGGAGGAGAAGGTTTGGAAGAAAGATGCAATTAGCTGCAATTGGGAAACAGGGAAAGACTGCAGAAGAAAGAGGATGAAAAACAAGGCTGTTGGGCTAGATGAGAGCAGCATGGAATATGATGTGACCACTAAGAGAGAAGTGATGGATGCAGAGGAGACAGTTATAAAAGTAAAAAGGGAAAAGACATCCAAAAGAACGATGGCAGAAGAAAGTGAGATTAATGAGCTGCTCACTGGGGGAAATGCTTCTGGTCATAAAACAAGGAAAAGGAAGAAGCAGAGGGCAGACAGAGCCAGCAAGGGGCTGGAGCATGACACACGTGGAGTGAAAGAGAATACTATGGAAAGCAAGGTCAGGGCCAAGGAACGTGGCTTAGGAGGTGCGGAAAATCCAAGCAGAAGTGCGGAGGACGAGAGGAGGTGCCTGGGGAGGGAGTGGGGATGGTGCGAAGCGCTCACACCAGTACAGGGGCCCAGAGAGAGAGACGTTATGGGGAAAAGAGGCAGCGAGGCAGCAGAGGCAGAGTGGGATGATGCAGAGCGCTGGAGGCCGAGACGAAGCCAGGAGAACGTGGCAGGAACAGCCGCAGACAGGGCAGATGAGCGTCTCCTGAAGAAGAGGAAGAAGTGGCCTGAGAGGGGTCTGGTGGAGACCAGAGCAGCAGAGGAGAAAGTGAAAATGCATAAAATCCTTTTAGAGTTGGTGAGTTGAAACTAAAGCTGGCTATGCAAACAGTCCCATCTTCCACCCCCCCCCCCCAATTCTCAGTGTAATTTTATCGTGTAATTTCTGTTTGTGTATTTGTGAGTTAGCCAACCTCACATGCAGAAGTGGTCTTTCTATCAGAGAAGCTGGGAAACCGGGATGAAGTTGTCATTGATCAGGTACATTGATCCATGTCTGTGTTGTACATCACTGTATCCTTTCCTGTCTCATCTTATAAATGCTCAGCAGACAATTTAATTCACATTCTCTTCACAGCATCCAGAATGATCTGTTCATGTTCATATATGGTCTGTTATTTTGTTCTGTAGGCCCGACGACTAGCCCTGCAGAGGGAGATTGACCTAGCATCCTGCTAGACGTTCCAAGCTAAACGGTCAGTACTCACTGCTGCTGTGCTCATCTTAGTGTAAAATTTAGTTATGATATTGATGATCTTTATCTTCCACTACAGGAACAAATTCACCCTGGATCTCTGGGTGTGCCAAACACATCAGTGCACAATAAGGACCCTGCGGCGGCAGTCTGGCTCACAGCCATTAGCAGTAAGAGAGAGATGTGCTCCATTGCTGCTGGGAGATGGTGAGCTGCAGTGTTGAGTATTCTGGCTCGACCACTGAAGGACCTCCAGTTCTACAAAAAGTTCTACAAAAGCCTAGCTGCTTGTTCTGCCTGACGTTCACTTCTCTCAGACGTGGCCGGTAGCTGAGTGTGAGACCCCCGGAGAATGTGCTTCTTCCACAGCCCAGCCTAAGCTCCGTGCATCCTATTCCTGGTGGATTTTTAATATTTTTAAAATGGTCATAATGGACTTACAGCTCTCTTGTAAATTCTGACAGATTCCAGCGGCAAAAATGTCAATGTCTACCTGTGAAAGTAAATCTTTGGTTATCAAAACATTCCTTGTTGTTTAATTTTTGGTATGCACACTTATACATGAAATTTAAATTCCAAATCATAATTGCCATTCAACTGTAACCTACCCTCTTACCTTTAATTGTGAACACCAGAATTGAGAATCCCTTATGCCAGAGAAATGTGGTCGTGTCCGTAAAGTTATTTCCGTTCGTCACATAACTATGTGCACTTTATCTACACTTATGGGTTAACTCCCTGTTTACATGTAGACCTACTGGAATTTATCACCTTTTTTGCACAAACATGGAAGTACTATGCACCTAGTGTTGAAAAAAGTTTGAATCGTAAATCTGGAAGTAGATGACTGATGGTGCCCGTCCAATGTTGTTGCAATTCCATGAATTGCCAGTTGATGGAGACATAGTATAACGTAAGACCAGGACGAGGTGGGCGTGGCTTCAACGTCAGAACATCCATAGATTAAACTATTAATCCGCATTCACGTGTAATATCCCTGCAAGACTCAGTGGTTCGGTTTTTTTTATGTTAGTGCTTTTAAAATATAAATGATTTATACGTTCTGAAATACCGCCTCTCCACATTTGGTTATGCTGTAATTTATTATAGTTAATTTTAGCCAGTGAGACTCACAGTTTCTTTAGTTAAACGGATTATCCAGTAGTAAAATTAACTTAGATTAAAAATATCCTACATAAAAATAAAAGAATGATGTTCATAACTTAGACGGTGAGGAGTGGGTTTGTTTTCATGGAAGGAGAGTGATTTATACTCGGATTAGCACTTTAGCCCAGCCGAAGCCAGTTAGAACTCAAGCATGGCTTCCGTAACAAATGTGTCATTCCTTCACAAAATGACTCGTTTACAAAGAGGAATACACTGAAACACGCTTAGTTGTATTATTTCAGTTTGTTTAATGGAATATTGAAAGGAAGTCGCTCACCTGAGATTTTCATGGACTGGATACACACTAAAACGACTAGCAGTTATACTAAATGACTAATTATGGCAGCCGTTTCACTTTAAAAACACATTTTTAAAGTCATGTGACCTATTTGTATTTTCCCTCACTGACGCATAAATGCCGACGTAGTGGAGCCAGAGTGGCGGTTACATCTGGTTCCGCTTATTTCAAATAGAATTTAAGCTCTCGCTTTTAGTCGGACCAGAATGAAGCAGTATTTCACAGCTTTTATTCTGTGATTTTATGACACATAGTAACCTCCTGTTTACGCTGCGTTCAAACTCCTGATACCCACCTAAATCTGTAGCACAGTAATTATATGCCTTGTAGCCCACTACAGAATTCCCTAACTTCAGAGTACCATGTAGAACGTCATAACCAAAATATGTTGCCCTCTGTGCTAATTTTTGTACAGCTATTATAAATTGTCAGCTATCGTAACCAGAACATCAACATTTTGAATCCATTAACAAAAATAGAACGTCTTTCAATAAACATATGAACTAGCATTAAAAGCCGTTAAAAAGTATTTATTTGAACAGTACCATAGCATTTCGCAAATTTTACAAGAGCAAAAATGACAAATAAAAAAAAAAAACTCCCAAAAACGTTCAAAAATTACTCAAAAGCATTTTATAAAAATAAATTGCACCACATCCTCTCTTTTCAATAAGTCGTTATTTTAGACAAAATAAATAGCGCATGAACAATTCCCAATAATGTTTTTACAGATGGATTCTTACTGGACACAAGTTCCTTCTTTTCTTCTAGACAAATTCTGGGATCTCGTGTGCCCTTGTTTCCCCTATCAGGTAATAAAAGGATATACTTTTGTAAATAAAACTGAATTAAAATCACAACAAACAAAATAACAGCAACAATTACTTTTTATAGGGTGTGCTCCTGCCCACATTCTCCCAAAGCAACACTGATATTAACAGATTGATGTACCAGCTATTAACAATATTCAGGTTATATTCCTGTGCAGTTTCTGGTTAGAGCAGCCTCTAAATGAGGACGCGGTCCTTGCTAGCGGCAGCCGCCATACTGCAAGCTCGCGAAGCCCGTCAGCCAAGCAGCAGAAGCTTCGAAATCCAGTGCTGACTGTGGAACAGCTAGGCGTTCATCATCCTAAGTGCATTGGGCTAAACAGCCGAGTCTGATTTCATGCCACCCAACTGCGATGAACTGTAACTCAATTTAGTGTCAACACCAGTGTGAGGGTGTACACATTACCAAAAGACTTCAGAAGTTTGCCTCTTGGTCACGTCCTTTGTGTCAGTGCGACTGCATGCTAACCTGAGGCCCCCAGGGTGCACTGCTTTGCACTTGACCTGGCTGAGGCAGTTACCTATTGATGGACAAAATAATGCTTCTTGAGCCGTTTGCTGTATTTTTTGACCCCACTAGATGGTGCTCTCACACAGCATGTCCCAAAGCAAACCAAGTGCACCCTCTAGTGGGGATTAAAAAAATACAGCAAATGGCTCATGAAGCGTAATTTTATCTATCGTTACAGTGATCCAGCAAGCCACCTCACATTTTCAGGTATAAATCGGGGACTCATTTGAAGGGTGTTCTGAAGGACCAGAAATGTGGGCCCCCTCCCCTCCCCTCCCCAGGCTAGTGTGTTAAACCATCTACAAAATGTGATGTTTAGAAATGTGGGACATGGGACTGGGCAGGTGGGTCACTGGGAGGGGTTGCTGGTCGCTGCACCTGAAATGACAGTCCGAGGATGCGAGCCATTGCTGTAATGTCTGTCATCCACAAGTCTTAGATTACAGAGTAGGCTCCACCATCAATAGCTGAATTCAAAAATAAAAATGGAAACAAACCAAAGAGAATAAAATAAACAGCGAAGAGAAGAAATCAAGCCTTGTCCGTTTCCAGGTAAGGGACCCTTGTAGACCACTTAGTGCTGCCTCTGCTGCGGAGCCAATCAGGGTCCATCCAGAAAGGGCCAATCAGTGCAGGACATAAGCTGCAATCAGCAGGAGTGGAAGGAGTTCCATGCAAGTCCCTCCCCTCCCACTAAGTTCCATTAAATCACGTGGCTTTCTGCGTTGATAATAAAGTAGCTTCTTTCACTGTCTGCCTTCTGTAACAAACCTCTGCTATAAAATGTCCTTCGCCATTCATAACATTGCAGGTAGCGACACTGCAAAGACGGCCTCATTGGGCTCTGGGCTCCCCATGTACCCGGAATCGGTACAGGCAGGTGTACTCCGCATGACCCCAGTTGGACAGCACCCGCATCTCTATGATCTGGAAAGCCTTGTCATTCTCCTCCTGGAACACAAATAAAACCCAGTAAAAATCATAAAAAACGGCCATCAAGCGCCATTAGAAACCTGGCACAGCCTAGTTCCACTGAAAAGCCAACACTATCACTCTTCAGAGATGCTCTCCCTTTCACTGGCCCCGAATGGCGGCCCTGCACATGCCCAGCACTCTGTCACATTATGGTTACCGTAACGGGGAAGGTCTGCAGCGAGTGGCCATCTTCCTGGTAGATGTAACGGCCCAGCAGTTTACCCTCTTCCTGATACTCGTCATCCAGACCCTGTCACAACAGAAAAGAGACTCACATCCAGCTGCTCATTCATATTCGGCTGTAAAATCCCACATGGATCTTCTGGATGTTTACATGCTGAATGCTCATCTGCAGAGCTATTATTTATAGCCATTGATTGTCCATTTTGTATTCATTGGCAATGTAGTCTGAATATCATTATAATATGTAAACAACTGCTGTTTAATATATACAGAGAGGTGGACAAAATAACAGACAAACCTAACAATATATGAATGTTAAGGAAAGAGTATGCCGGAATGTTCTTTGGCTTCAGGTGAGCTTTTCTTTCCGTCTTGGATTAGTCATACCAAGACCTGGACTGGGATTACTGGACTATCCATATTGGGTCAGTTCTTTGGGGCAGGAAGGAAGCACACATTCCCCAGAACTTCGCCTGATGGTTCCATGATGTTTATGTCCAGATGGTGGCTATACCAGGCATCGCGGATTGAAGGAATCCTTTGACAATCTCCAAATGTAAACCCATCCATGTAAAAGTGAGAAGGAGAATTATGCTTCACCAGGTTTATGTGCCTGAGACCAGGTCTGCTGCACAAGAGGCTTCCACATGGTATCTCTGCCATAATCTCCGGCTTTGTGAAGCTCACACTCTTCTGGCATTCAACAATTACCCAGCTATGTGTCAATTTACCCATCTTTTAATGACTGAGGCCTTCAAGAACTGACCCTGGCATCTTTGGAAACTCTTAATTGCTCCATGTTGCTTTAAAAACTCATATGAAAGTGTTGAATATCAGACCAGTTTAATACCTGCCACATACTGCTAAATGGCATTCAACTTAATACGACCTTCAGTCATTTCAAAATTAAAGTCCTAAATGGAATTCAACCTAATATGATTTGCCTTTAATTACTTCAAAGTTAAAGTCCTTTTTTTTGTGGGTTTTCCATCAGTTTGTCCACCCCCCTACAGTTAATGATGAACATTTATAGTGACTGAGGTTCAAGCACAAGACACAAGGATCAACTAGGACCAATGCTTCACTAGTCTGGGTCTGGCAGGGCAGAACCACTGCCTCTCTACTTATGCTCCTGTCTTAATTTAGTGAAGTGAAATATGAGGTACAGAATGCAAACTGAAGCTGAAATGTGGTCACAGCTAATGACGACTGTCTCACATAGACAGCGAACTGGCGGGGGGCGCTGGTGATATTGCCAGTGGGCGACAGGGCCTTGGGAATGTGCTCCAGCGAGAAGGCGGTGGGCAGGATGCTGAGCGAGAGCCGGAGCACCAGGTATCCTTGGGAGCCTTTGAAGGCCCAGCAGTTCCCGGGGTGGACGTCCGGCTGGGGAGAGGAGTTACACATGGGTCAGAGTGAAGGGCAGGAATGGAGAGTCTGAGGGCGAAAGGACAGAGAGGTGCAGCTCACCTGAATGACGACCCGGGGAGACTGGGAGAAGTACCAGAGTGGCACGCCGAAGAGGCTCATTAGGGCCGTCTTGGTCTCATACGTCTCCGAGCAGCGGGTGCTGAGGACGCTGCCGCCTGCAGGAAGGGACATGTGAGACGGCCACGTCAGCCACGCATCCGCCCCCAGAGCCCCGGACGGCCCGAGGACCACAGATTACTGTACTAGTCCAAGAAAGCCGTCTTATCGCTCTATCTCTGGCCATTTCTGCCTGGCGCCTGGCACATAGCTTAGAAAAAGGAGCCTTCTACATAGAGCAGCGTGCTGCGGATCTGTACCTCCGGACTCGAGGGCGTAGTCCACCAGGCCCGTCCGGTCCTGCGAGTAAAGATTCAGGGCATTCTGCACGACCAGCTTAACTTGCTGCCAGATGCAAAAGGAGAGAGACAAGATAGCAGGAAGTTAAATATATCTGTGCGTTTCAGTCTTAACATACAACCTTTACAAGCTCTGCAGACAAAGTCTAATATAAATACAAAGAACAATCTAAGATCTATTATGAGCCAAATCAATTATGATAATGATCACTTTCACTTTTCCGCTCGATACCAAGCAAACTCGCTACCTCCTCCGACATCCCAGCTGCACCAGCGGCGTGCACCACTGTCTCCGTCACGCTCCGCTCACAGGGGGGCTGGCCGCTCTGCTGCGCCTGCAGTGTGACGTTCTTCAGGATGCTGAGCTCCAGGGCCGTCAGCGCCCCCTGCAGGTCGGAGCCGCTCACGAAGCGTGCCGACAGCCACGGTAGCAGGGGCTCGGGCAGCTCGCCTTGGTCTGCCTGCTGGCCTCCGTAAAACAGCGCCCGCAGCTCCCGCCGCACCTGCGCAGACACCTGCGCAGACACCTGTCCAAGGGGGAGGGCTGTCAGAATGGAGCTGTTGCTAAATATGAGGCCAGCACAGGGCACTCTAGCTCAATGCTGTTGTATCCTTGAGAAAATAGGACATTTTTTCGCCACTGTTTTAGCAAACACCTGCTTAGTTAAACACTGCAGTGTGGAAAGCATTTATGTTCACCTCTCACAGTAATCATACTGCATGCTATATACGCACATCTTCAGCACTGCACCCGCACCCCAACCAGCCCTGAATGAGTGAGGCTGCACTGGTTTCATGCTCCTCACCGTATCCTGCAGGCTGTCCAGCTGCTCACATCTGCCTCGGCATCCCAGCACCCCCTGCAGGTCGTGCCTGATACGGTCCAGCTCCGCCTCCAGCCGCCGCAGCTCTGCCAGGAGGGCATCACGTGCCTCTCGGTCTGCACTTGCACTGGGGAGGACACCAGCATTAACTGCCTGACTGGCACAACAGGACACGGCTAAGCACACCGGCGATAACCAAGCGACCGGCGCAGCTAAGCACACCGGCGTTAACCAAGCGACCGGCGCAGCTAAGCACACCGGCGTTAACCAAGCGACCGGCGCGGCTAAGCACACCGGCGTTAACCAAGCGACCGGCGCGGCTAAGCACACCGGCGTTAACCAAGAGACCGGCGCGGCTAAGCACACCGGCGTTAACTAAGAGACCAGTGCGGCACTGCAGACCACACCAGAGGCCACACTGCGTGGATGTACCTCTCCGGAGCCAGCGGGGGCACCTCCTGTTTCTGCTGCACCTCCTGAAAAGTCAGAGTAAGTGGGCGTCAGTAAGTGACCCCTCAGCAGGAGGGCCTGTCTCCGGGGGGGGGGGTTGTTACGTACCTCCATCTCGGCTGCCAGGGCTTTCAGCAGCGCCCCCATCTGCGTCAGCTGGGCGCTGTGACGCTGCTGCTCCGTCAGGTACTCCGTCTGAGTCTGCGGGGGGGTGCGAGACGGGGGCCCCTTTGTTATTATAGACAGGCTAGGTATTTGGTAATCATTATTTATGCATAAATTCTACTCATTCTGGGACTTTAATTTGCAACCATTTGGACACAAGAAGCAAGCCTCACATCCTGAGCCATTACTGTAGCACAGGCTATGGATGACAACAGGATCACAGTATACTGCATACACCCTATCCACACACACACACACACACACACACACACACACCTGCTCCCTCTGCACCGCGTCCTTCCCCAGCTCTTCCCTCAGCAGGGTCAGCCGCTGGTCCAGCAGGCCAGACACCCAGAGGCCCAGGCTGCTCCTGTCGGTCTGCTGCTCCAGCTGCTGGCCGTCTGCCTCCATGCTGCCCCACAGCTGCTCTAGCCGCTGCTCCAACCGGTTCAGGCGCTCCAGGCTCACAGAGACGGCCAAGTCAGGCTGTGGGGGCGGGACAAGGAACTCACTGCGGGGGCACAGCCTGTCTCTCTCACATGCAGATACACATATACGCCATTTAGAAGAAACTGAAAGAGTTGGACACTAAGAATCAAGTTGGGCGCTTTAGAAAAGCCTGTGGTTTGACGTCTGTCACCTGTGTGACGGTGGGCGGGGGCGACGCTGTGCTGAGCTGCCCCCAGGACGTGTAGAGGGTCTGGGGTAGGCGCAGGAGGAGGCTGATGGGTGCCCCCGCCTGCCATTCTGTCAGGTTCACTGCTGGCACGAAGGGAAGCAGGCTGGACGAAAACCAGAACCACAGGCCTGCAGAGACGGGAAGGAGGCTCACAGACAGGTCCTGAAGAGCGTACTACGCTGCGTTACGCATTACCAGAACCACAGGCCTGCAGAGACGGGACGCAGGCTCACAGACAGGTCCTAAAGAGCGCACTACGCTGCGTTATGCCTTACCAACCAGCTGAGTATAAGATAACAGAGTCACAGAGTACTCAGTTGGTAGGTTGATACAAAGCCTTAGTCTGGATCTGTACTTTCTGGACCTAACCTAACCTCTGTCTTTAATTGAGTACTTTTGTGAATAACTCCAACACTGACTGTTTATACGCTCTGTGTTGTGTTACGCACTGTACTGTATGCACTGCACTACATTAAACACTGCACTGTGACAGGCTGCATTATGTTACACACTGCGATGCATTACGCACTGTACTGTATGCACTGCACTACATTAAACACTGCACTGTGACAGGCTGCATTATGTTACACACTGCGATGCATTACGTACTGTACTGTTATGCATTGCGACAAGCTGCAATGTCATGCACTGCGCTGCATAACACTGTACTGTTATGCACTGTGCTGTGTTACGCACTGCATTGCGTTACGCACTTCATTACACACTGTACTCTGGTACACCCTGTGGTAGTGAGTCATGAAGGAAATAAAATATCTCCTCAATAATCTTTACCTGACAATTCAGTGCAGCCAATTAACATTTAACACTGAACGTACATTAACTTTAATTGTAGTTATTACCTGAAATGAGATGCTGAAAAAATAAACTGTTCAATAAATAATAAAATAAACAAAAATCTATCAGGCAAAAAAATGAACACAAATGGATGCAAAAGTAAAGCCTGGAGGTCCAGCTCTGGTTTGTACTGAAACGTGATCTGTGTGTAGGTCAGCCTGAATAATCCAGGTCACTGCGGTCTGGGGGGGGGGGGCTGCGGAAAGTGGGTCAGCGCAGCTCAGTGGGAGAGGAGGAGGGGCCCAGCACACTCACCCAGGAGCAGCAGGAGGGGAAGCAGGAGCAACAGCAGCCGTAGGAGTTTCGGGAGGCACCTGAGGAGAGAGACAGCAGGGGCAGGTTAGCGGTCTGCTCCCGACGGCTGGTCAGACCCGACTCCCCGTCAGCGGCGCGCGGGTCACCATGGCGGGTCGCGTCTGTGCTTCTTATCGGGGGAAAGACGCTTCCCAAGCTCAGTGCTCTATCTGCACCACATCGTTATGATTCACCAAGCACAAGTAAACAAGGGGCTTAAGGCGGGATTTAACACGCCAAGCAGGATGGACACTCCCATTTCTATCAATGCAAATTCATTCAAATTCTTTAGTGGGGCTCGGACATACATTTCACTGTGATTCAGGTTAGGTACTTTGCTCACAGGGGTAACAGCAGGACCTGGCACGACACCATCAGGTTAAAGGATCACATCCCAAACCTCCATACCACCCGGTTCTCAGGTCCATCGTAGAGAGTCTCTTACCGGGTTAGGATAAATACGTTCAAGAGAGACATGAGGGTGACCAGCTGATACCATCCCGTCCCCAGCCACCAGAAGGCGCCAGCCGCTGCCTTCCCTGTGGGGTCAGAGAGCAGGAGGAGGGAGAGACCAGGGTCAGGATGGACATCACCATGGAAAGGAGACCTGGACAACATATGCATGCTGAGTTATGCTAAAGAGGCGGACAGAGCTAGACCAGCTGGAAGGGAAGAGGACAGACACGGGGGGGGTCCTGACCATTGTTGAGCAGGCCAGTCAGGTTCAGGTTACCCCCCCCCCCCAATTCTAGGCACTGCTCCATAAGCCATTTAGAAATCAGCATGACAGACCAACACCGCGGCTGAAGATAGGTCTTGAGATCGCCGCAACATGAAAGGTTACAGGTCAGAAGTGAGAAAGGAGACGGTAGTGACGGTAGGAGGAGGTAGTGATCTGGTTAGAACAGAGCGCCAGGCGAGAGAGACATGGGGCAGCTCGAGGTCAGCGGGAGAATCCTTCACTTTATGGGGGAAACAAGTGGCAGCGGATGAGAAAGAAGAAACAGGACAACGAGCAAGTGAGCGTCATGCAAGGATGGAGGCAAAAAAAGAACTGCAATGACCTGGGGACACCATAACCAAGTAGAGGAGTGACAGCAGCTTCCGGAGCACAAAGATGCCGGCGCCCCCTAGGGCCCGGATGACCTGCAGCACAGAAGAACCTGCAGACCAGCAAGGTGGGAGCGCTGGGTCAGTCCATATTCACAGCTCCTTTACCGATAACCAGAAACACAGGCATCTCTGTACTTTTTCACAGGGTGTTTCTCAATACTTGGGCGTACTTGTGTTCTTGCGTTCCCGTTTTACATCGTCTCCCATTGCTGAAGACCAGTTCCAATAGTCAAGAACAGAAGTACAGCGAACGGTAAAAAACCCCAGATGTTGGTCTTGCTCCACACCAGATATCAAGGATGCACTGTTGCATCTTCGCCAAACGAGACCAATCCCATGATTCATCGCGCCCCAAGTTCGTTCTTGGGAGGCAAGTTAGCAAGACTGGTCTTGCCAAGACCACAAGTACGATCCTTGCACTCTTGGTGTTGAGAAACACCCTTAGCCTTTCCACTACAGCAATGAGCTTATCAATGCCACTGCAAGAAACCAAAAGGCAACATGGCCAGTGGCTAATCTACAGCCAGCGCCTCAGATTCCCGATAATCAGGCTGGCTGGGCATCGTCACATCCTGAAACGGAACGATAGCTATATATCAGACGGCAATATGGGAGCCAGCCACATGTGCGAAGGAGAACTGCGGACGCTGGGGGTGACCTGTGTAAGCAATGATGCTCCACAGCGCCCCCTGCAGGCGGCTTTTCCCGCCGGAATGAGCGTGAGCCACGAGCGTCTTCATGTGCTGCTTCCCTTTGCAGTCGTCACCTGTCAGGCAGTCAGGGATGGGTGGGGGCAGCAGAAAGACAGACAACAAAAGTAATTTTAAAATTATCGATTATGGGATGAAACAGCAGCGCACATATGGGACAGAAGCAACATCAACACACTGCAGGCAGGACTCCGAGCCAGCAGATCATGAGCCACTCCCACCCACCCCGGTCACTCCTTCCCCGTCCACATGGGCTTGACGACTCATCCCCCAGCATCTGAGGTTTTCCTGACATCCCCTTTCAGGCTGTTATGACCCACAGCTTATAGGCTTTTGCCACACAGAGTAACGTCTGTCACACAAGCGCAGCTCGACAAGACACAGCGGCCTTGGCGTGTTAGGTATGCACGGCGGACTGTCGATGTGATACCTGGCAACCGACACGCGCCTCAAAAGTGAGCAGCGGCGTTAAAATGCGGTACGCAATACAGTCCAAGTGCAAGATCCCACGTACGACATGCGACGCGTTACGTGCAGTTAGTGATTTAGAGACCGAAGCCAGCAGTTCAGGAGCGATTACGGTCCCTGCTGGCTCTGCCCGTCCCTTGGCTGTGCTGCCGGAGACGGCTGGGACCTTGCTCATCCATTAACACACGTCACTGAGCAGATAATGAGCCATTTGGCTACAATTAGCTACATCGGTTTCCCGCTTGACTCTCTTCCAGGGTGTACTCCTGCATAGCGTCTCACGCTGCCAGCAGAGGCCTGTGAAAAAGCAGCTTGAGGATGGATGGGTGGATGGTTCTCCCGTCTCAGTATTCCCAGGGCAACAAGAAGAGCTGCAACGCGGGACGTGACGCCTCAGGCTGCTGGCACTGCATCGGACTGGGGTGTCACTTACACAGCGAGCCGTTAAAGATCAGGTGACTGTCCGCCGTCGCCAGGGCCTTCACGTTCACGGCGCCGCAGTAGCTGGAGTGCGCTGCGGGAGAGAGAGAGAGAGAGAGAGAGAGAGAGAGAGAGAGAGGATGAAAGGCTTGGGTCAGTGCCACTATCAGGAGACTCCAGGATCACCGCGGCAACGCAAGAGGAGAGCAGAGAGTAAGTAAACAAAAGCCTGTGGGGACCATCCCCGTCAAGAAAGAGTGGCTTGGAGGAAAGCGGCCCAATCATTAGAAGCAAGAAGACGTGCCAGGCGGCCCAAACGGGCCCAGAGATCCAGGGAGCAGGCAGATACCGGCCAAAGCTGCAGGGCACTGGCTTGGAGAAAAGCTAGTGTTAGCGATTAGCAAGGCGCGGCAAAAGAGGGCCCTGTCATTCCTCTGGAGCCACTGGGTCCAACTGTGGCACTGGACTGAGGGAGCAAAAGAGCAACTTCGGTTACCATGACAACCCAGCTGTGGCTGTTAGACCGAGGCCCGGAGGGGCAGTGACCCAGGAGCGAGTCGCACGATCGGGCAGAAAACAGGCGAAGCGGCCAAGTCACAGGGGCCCAAAAGCGCAGGGTGGGGGGGGGGTGTACCTCCGTCACACACACTGCCCTCGTGGCCCCTGGCCCCGGAGCCCATCTTCAGCAGAACACTCAGCGATGTGATGCAGGACATTACAGCGGCGACCGCCCATCTGGCATAGCCCAGCAACACGTCCGAGAGACGCGCTACAGGATGCGGCGACGGACCTGGGGCGGCGGGGAGGCGTGTGCGGTCATGAACGGGGTTACGGAATGACGGCCACCAGCAATTAAATCGGTATCTGCGTTTGGAAGTGGGGCGGATCGCCCCCTGGTGGCCCGTCCCAGATACCTTTGTCGTCATCGGGAGCCTGGGCCCTGCATCCCAACGCCAACAAAATGCGCTGCATTAGAAGCGTCACGACAGATGCTACAGCGGAGACTGCCAGGCCGGCGCGTCGCACGCAGGCACGAGAGGCGGTCACCAGGACACCTGGCGGGGGATCAGAGCCTGGGTCAGGAGGTGGGGGGGGGTACCTTACAGGAGTAGGAGACACCGAGCTTAACTGGGAAAAAAAAAGGAACGTTTTTCACCCAGCAGGACGGGAAGCCCACAAGGGGGCAGCAGACATATCCGTCAGACAGGCTCACCCAGTGCCGAGCCCAGAACAAAACCAATACTGGTGCACCATACAGTCCCCCGCCCCAAAGTCTAAGGGTCCCCAAACAAGCTTGATGGGCCGATTGGCCTCCTCGTCTTTGTAAATTTCTTATGTTTTCGTGTATTAATCTGAAGGCACCCTGGCAATGTCAGACCTTACCTGTCTTCTCAGCCTGACCCCTGTCCCGGGTGTAGATGGTGGAAGCCAGCGAGCACGTGGCCTCGGAGGCCGGCTGAGGGAGAGAGGAGGCGGAGGAGGAGGAGCGGGAGGAGTAGGCAGTGAGGGCCTCATTCCGTTTGGAATGGATGCTGCAGTTGCTGCAGATGTAGCCGTTGCCGGCGGCGACGGCCTGCTTGCGCGCAGTGGCGATGCCGCCGTTGGCCAGCGTGACGGTGTGGTCCATCTTCGAGCTGTGCTCTGCGCAGATGCAGACGGGGGGGGGGAGAGAAAAGGCACGTTAGACAAACCACAACGGGTGCAGAGAGAAAAGGCCCATCACACAGATACTGTATGTAATATAGGTCACCAACCTTTAAGATGAGAATCCGGCTCCAAACCTACAAAAATAAAAGACATTTAAGTGATAAAATACCCCCCACCAAAATACCCCACAAGCTAGTAATACTGAGCAGTGTTTCCTAACCGGCCGTCATGGACCCCCCATGCAGTCCACGTTTGGGAGGGAGCAAAAACATGGACTGTCAGATGGTTCCTGAGGACTGGGTTCTTGGTCCTGAAATAGCAGAGCTCTTCAATTCTGGACCACGATTCCAAATCCAGGCCGTGTTCTCAGTACTCCCAGATAGTTTAATAATGACTGATTCTGATTGGCCAGAGGCTTCACACCTGGCTCACAGGTAAAGGAAGGCTGGAAAACCAGCAGGGCTCGGCCCTCGAGGACCGTGATATAGAGAGTGAGGGGCCACATTCTGGCCCCAGCCCAGACTCACCCCAGAAGCTGCCGATGCGCGTGCTCTCCTGCACACACGATTCATCCAGCAGGCTGGCCAGCAGCGAGGCATCGCTTGCCACACAGCTGCGCAGACTTGCAGAACCGGACTCCTGCTGTGTCACTGGGGTGGAGACCAGCTGCTGCATCCGCCTGCTCCTCAGTGTCCTGAGAACGATCACCGCGACGATCCAATTATGGATCCCATAATTCGGGACAAATTTAACACAGTTTAACTGCAGCTTCCCTGCTCACCTGGCCTGTCTGCGGCTGATTCCTCCAGCGCTGTAGGTGGCGCTGTGGCTGTGGGAGGAGTCTAGCAGGCTGTCGTCGCCGTAGTGGCCGGCCGCAGTTTGCAGGCGGAGGCTCCTGCGCGACATCCTCGGCGAGTCGTACACGGGGTCGATGTCGTGCTGCCTCTCGTACTCTAACGCTGCGGAGGAGTAGCTGGAGCTGAGAGGGCCAACAAAACGTACCCTTAAGTGACACGTGCCTCTGTGCTACATGGCATAGCGGTGGCATGCAGAGTCACAATTCATCACTGGTGATGTTTTTCCGCCGATGCTTTTTTCCTCAAAGCCACCTATACAGCTGGACAGTTCAACAGAGTGATAAAGTAGTGGATCAAGGGTACAAACGCTGGGCCCCAAACGCCGGGGCCTCAACCTCTGGGCCCCTCCTAGGACCTGGCAGACCTCACAGCTACAGAACCAACTGCCCTTGTTCATCAGCTCCCTCAGCGAGACGGCAGCTGTCGGGTCGTAAAAAAACAGCGGCAGGGGTGGCAGGGAACAGCAGAAGCGCGCAGGGCAGGCCAATGCCCCACGCCGCACCCATGACAGGAAGTGAGTCACACAGCAACTCCCGCTATTAAAAGCAGAGGAGGGAAGCAGTGTACAAGGCCATCAGAGGAGAGAGAGAGAGAGAGAGAGAGAGAGAGAGAGAGGGAACAAGTCCAAACCCAAAGAGACTGGGGCCAATGGAAAAAAAAAAACCCAGCACTCTGGTAGCACTGCTGTGGGCCAGTTTGAAAACACGAGAGCAGAAGAGAGGCACAGAAAGGGGCAGAAAAAATGAGGCTGTTACATAACCCACAATACATTTAGCTAGATTCATGGACGTTTAAAGACAAGCTGACGCCCCCTGAACACACTGCCTGCGCACCTCATTACCACACTTTCAGACTGGATATCCTGTATTCTAAACTCTACAACCGTGTTCCGCCCCCCACCTGACCTCATCAAGAAGGGAGGTGTCGGCTTTCCAAGCAAAGGCTCCAGCCCCTGGGTCAGGTGAGCAGAGAGCTCACGGCAAAGGGAAGGCGTGGAGCGGCTGGCTTCACAACACAGTACGGACTCTGCTCCCTTGGCCCTGCCTGTGCCAGAGCAGCAGGCTGCACAGGCACCTCTGCGTTACACAGGTGATCAAATGGTAGAAGAACATGGGAAAATAAAGCACGAGCACTCAGGTCTCTGGGGGGAACTGAAGCGGGAAGTGAGCAGTAGCATGCATCTGTGGGCCCAACCCACAAAGGAGCAAACGTGCTCTTCCCCAAATGAGCCTCACCTCCAGCGGAGATGTGCTTCCCACCCACTAGAGGGCGCACTGAACACCATCACTGCAGGCACAGGATCATCCGCACGTCGCCAAAGAAAGAGAACTGCACACAGGCTGAGAAACTCACGCAAACCTCAGGTAACCCTAAACGCAGAGTGAGCGACACTTCAGCGACACAGGCTCACACACAGTCCAGCACAGGGTTACACAGCCGGGCACCTGTATACAGACATGCCACCCCATTTATGTTAGCGCCACCCTGTGGGGAGCTTCCGTAAACAAGCGCAGAGGAGGCAGTTCAGCACTGAAACTCATTAGTGGCTCATTTTCTGTGCTTGGAGCAACAGCTCCCCACCAACCAGGAAGTATTATTAGACTAGATCCTGTGCAATTTATTATTTTTTTGGTTTGTTTTAAAAAAAAAATTTTTTAAATAGCAAGCTATGCCCCCCTCCCTACCTGTGCGATGAGGGCTTCTGGTTGTGCCCAGTACACCCACACTTCCCAGGGGGAAGGGATTACCCATCAGCCACTGCAGCACAGCTTCCCAACACAGGAGATGCAGCATGAGTGCAGGCTGAAAGTCTCAGAAAGCGGTGATTGCACCAGGAGGTCAGCTGACCGCTCAAAGCCTGTGCCAGCCCCGGGGTGGCACCTTAACCTCCTCAACTTTATCTGTGAAGCTTGTAACAGTCCACAGCTGCCTGCTAAGGCAGGGGTGGGCAATCTTATCCAGAAAGGGCCGCTGTGTACATGGGCTCCCTGATTAGATTGCTAATTAGAGGACTGATTGGCTGAAGAGTCCTCACACCTGGGTTTGAACAGCTGACCTAAAGGTCTCAAAAACCCGCACACGCAGCAGCCCTTTTTGGATAAGATTGGCCACCCCAGCGCTGACGTGTCACACACGCCAATCAAGGCGGAAGTCTGTCACTTTGCTGGGCCTCAACTGTCTAAAAGTTACTGTTTAATTGCACTGTTTAGAGATTTAATGAGGGATTTCTGAAAGATACTGATTAAACAGGAGTGGGGCATGTTTACTATGAGATACCAAAAGACACACACACACGCATGCGCACGCGCATGGAACACACACACATGTCCATTAATTTCTATGGGCAACACCCGAATCCCAACAATGACACCCTTAACTAGAGGTCGACCGATATATCGGCCGGTCTATATATTGGGCCGATATGTAGCATTTTTTAATGTATCGGCCGATATCCGAGTGCACTACGCCGATTTTCAGACAGGCACGTCTGCGGGCAGCCCAGTGTTATTGTTGCTGTGGAACACGTGACCCACGCTGCCTTGTGCAGGACCACAGCCAGAAGTTTTGGAAGAGTCCTGGGA